CATTATTTCCAGATCCCCTTTTGTTGCCAGTTCAGTGGGTCCAGGTGGTTGAGTATCAGAATGTTCCATCTCATTTCCCTTTGTGGTTGCTGTAGGTGATCTGGAAGTCTGGTTTTGAGACTTATTTACATGTTTTCTCATTTCAACTGGGGGGGACTCTTGGTGCCTGCATGGATTACCTCCTCTGAGCTGGGAGAGGTGGGACAGGGGTTGGGAGCAGTGGTAGGGATGGTGGCCGAAAAGCCCTTTCCTGTGGTCTGGGGGCAGTGGGAGGGATGCTGGCCAGGAAGCCCCTTCCTCTGGTCCAGGAGCAGTGGGATGGTGGCTCAGAAGCCCCTACCTCTGGGCCAGGAGCAGTGGGACAGAAGGTGGCCCAAAAGCCCTTTCCTCTGGGCTGGGAGCAGTGGGAGGGATGGTGGCCCAGAAGCCCCTCCTCTGTGCCAGGAGCAGTGGGACAGAAGGTGGCCCAAAAGCCCTTTCCTCTGGGCTGGGAGCAGTGGGAGTGATGCTGGCTGGGAAGCCCCTTCCTCTGGACCAGTAGCAGTGGGACAGTGGCTCAGAAGCCCCTACCTCTAGGCCGGGAGCAGCAGGACTCAGTACCATGGTCTGGTGGTCCAGTGTCCTCTGCGTCTTTGCAGTGTGGAACCAGGTGGCTGTACAGAGGAGTGGTGGTGGTGGTGGTGGGGGGTCCAGTGGATTGTTGCTGGAGCTGAGGCTGATTCGGCATGTTCCGCGCTACTCAGGACCTCAGTAGGGCAGGCACAGACCTGTCTGTCTGCAGCAGGCTGATTCCAGGTAGAACTCTTGAAGACATTGGCATAGGAAAAGATTTCATGAATAAAAGCTCAGTTGCACATGAACTAGCAAAACAATGAACAAGTGGGATCTCTCCTTATTAAAAAGCTTCTGCACAGGAAGAAAAACCACCCACAGCATTAAAAGAAAACCCACAATGTGGGAAAAAACTTTTACCAGCTGTCCCTCAGACAAAGGTCTACCACCTAGAATATATAAAGAGCTTAAAAAAAAATCAGACCTCCCAAAATTAAAGATCCAGTCCAAAAATGGGCATCTGAAATGAACAGATATTTCTCAGACAAAGAAGTAGAAATAGCAAATAAACACATGAAAAAATGTTCAACATCACTGGTTATTTGAGAGAGGCAAATGAAAACAATGCTGAGATTCCACCTCACCCCGGAAATTATGGCCGCTATCATGAAATCAACCAACAACAATTTCTGGCAGGGCTGGGGAGAAAAAGGAACCCTTGTGCACTGTTGGTGGGAGTGTAGACTGGTGGAACCACTGAGGATATCCATATGGAGATACCTCAAAGAACTAGGATTAGAGGTCCCATTTGACCCAGTTATTCCCCTGATGGGTATCTTCCCAAAAGGATTAAAAGAATCATACCACAGAGATATATGTGCACTCATGTTCATAGTGGCACAGTCTGTAATAGCTAAAACATGGAAACAGCCCAATTGCCCATCAACTGGAGACTGGATATAGAAAATGTATTTTTTTAATAAAATGGAGTACTACTCAGCCATACAAAATTAGAAATTAGAGGCATTTATAGCTAAATGGATGCACGTTGAGGCAGTACTCAAGTGAAATAAATAGGACACGCACGTGTAAATACTGAATAATTTCTCTGGTATGAGAAACTGAAAGTGTAAATAAGGATCAAAATGTGTAATAGATAATGTGAAATAGGAAAAAAATGGTGCAAAAAGGAGGAGGGATAGGGGCAAGGAAGAAGGTATTGAAATTAATATGAGAAAAATTTAAAATGGAAAC